TGTCTTTAACCTTTGGCATTTTAATTATGATGTGTCTTGCTGTGGGCCTCTTTGGGTTCCTCTTGTTTGGGACCCTCTGTGCTTCCTGGACTTGTAAGTCTATTTCTTTCCCCAGGTAGGGGAAGTTTTCTGTCATTATTTTTTCAAATAGGTTTTCAATTTCTTGCTCTCCTTCTTCTCCTTCTCATATTACAATAATACAAATGTTGGGCCGCTTGAAGTTGTCCCAGAGGCTCCTTATGCTATCTTCATATTTTTGGATCCCTTTTTCTTTTTGCTCTTCTGGTTGGGTGTTTTTTGTTTCTTCATGTTCCAAATTGCTGATTTGATTCTCAGCGTCCTCTACTCTACTGTTGATTCCCTGTAAATTATTCTTCATTTCAGTTCGTGTAGCCTTCATTTCAAATTGGTACTTTATTATGTTATCGATTTTCTCAGTTATTTCCCTAATAGTCTGCTTAAACATCCTTATAAACAAAATTCTGAACTCTGTATCTGTTAGCTTGCTTGGATCTATTTCATTTAGTTCCTCTTCTAGAGATTTCTTCTGTTCTTTCCTTTGTGACATGTTTCTTTGCCTCCACATTTTGGCTGCTTCCAGGTGTTTGTTTCTATGTATTAGGTAGAGCTTCTATGTCTCCTGGAATTTGTAGAGTGGCTTTGTGTAGCAGGTGTTCTGTAGGGTCCAGTGGCTCAGCCTCCCCAGTCACTTGAGCTCCCCTTTGCTCCCCTGAGTCCCAGGTGCTCCCCTGTGTGGGTTGTGTGCACTGTCTTGTTGTAGTTGAGCCTTGGTTGCTATTGGCATCAGTGGGAGGAACTGACCCCCAGGCCAATCGGCTTTGAGGACCAGCTGCAACTATAGCCAAAGAGCTGCTGTGCTAGAGACACCCCTATGGATCAGGATTTACTTCAGTGGCGCTTTGGTGTTCACCAAGTGCACCCCTTGAGTGTGTCACTTGTGGATGTGGTGGGGTTGTAATCCAGCGTGGTGGAGTCTGACCNCCAGGAGGTGCAAAGTCAGCCTCTGCCAGTGCCTTGCCCAGGGCCACCCAGCATGAGCTACACAGGAAACCATAATTGGCTGCTACTTGGCTGGGCTTGGAGGGGTCCAGGAGAGGCCAAGTTATGAACCAATGCAGCTGCCGCTAGTGCCAGGCCTGGGGCCACTTATCAACCCGTATGGGGCATGCCGAGGCCAGCTGCTGCTTGTTTGAGAGATTTTAGGAAAGTCCTAAGCATGAGGCTCGAGAAGCCACTTGCATAGAAAAGCCGCTGGAAATGGCCTGGATGAGCTTGCAGGTGGGGAGGGAGGGGCATCTGGGAATCACCAGTGTGGGGCCAGAGGTGTGAGTCATGTGCTGGTGATTCAAATATGGTGCCTGCTTGCCTGCTGTGTGCAGGGAGGGCTCACCTGAAGAGCAATGGCCTCTGCCAGCTCTTCTGCCTGGGAGGAAGCTGCCCCTCCACCTCTCGCCTTGATTTCAGGCAGGTTAGTTCCTCCCCGAGTGTCCCAGGTTCCTTTCAAGCTGCTGCCTGGCGCGGGGCTCAGAGGGGGCGCGTGTGAGTGAGTCTGTGTGCCGGCCCTTTAAGAGGAAAGTCTGGGGCCGAGACCCTCAGAGACAGGCCCCGCTGTTGTGGGAACATCTCTTCCTGGCCCTGGAGCTCTGGGCTGGGGGCCTGATGTGGGGCTGGGCCCCCTCGCTCCTACGGGAAAACTCTGCTGCCCGGATTCCCTCCCGGGTTTAAACTGCAGCACCGGGTGTGGGCCCGCGGCCGTGTCTCAGCGATCCAGCCCGGATCTGCCTGTGTCTCTACCTATCTTACTGGTCTCGATGCTTTTTCAGTTCCCCGGTTGTAGGGCTTCTGTTCAGCTAGACTTCAGGAGGTTCTGAGTGATGGTGGTTCTGTATTTTAGTTGCAATTTTGATGTGGTTGTGGGAGGCGGCGGGTGCAGCTGTTACCTGTGTCATCTTGTTTCCTCTCCTATGTCGGCATCTGAAGTAAGTCTTGCTCTATTCCACGGGCCCTGCTAATCCTCCAAGGTGGTTGGAGGTCAGTGGTCAGTTGTTGCAGCCAGTCTTTCCATTTGATAGGCCTGAGTAAATCCCTCCCATTGACATGCCAACAGCAACCAAGACTCAATTACAACAGGAGGGTGTACAGCCCACGTGGGGGGTGCACCTCGAGTGCCCAGCTGGGGTGATCAGGGAGGCTGTGCCACTGGACCCTGTAGAACACCTACTACGTTAGACCATGCTACCAAGCCTAGGAGACGTAGCAGCTTGATCGAGTACATAGAAACAAACACAGGGAAGCCGCCAAAATGAGAAGACAAATAAACATTTCCCAAATGAAAGAACAGAACAGAACTCCAGAAAAAGAACAAAACAAAATGGAGACAAGCAACCTACCAGATGCAGAGTTCAACACACTAGTTATAAGGGTGCCCAAGGAACTTAGTGAGGACCTCAACAGCATAGAAAAGAACAAGTCAATTAAAAGATCAGCTTTAAAGTATGCATAATAAATTCACTGAACTGTACCTTAAAAAGAAAAAAGAAAAAAAAGAACCAATCAGAAACGAAGGATACACTAACTGAAATAAAGAATATTTTACAGCAGAATAGGTGAAGCCGAGAATCAAACCATCAACTTGGAAGATAAGCAAAAAACACCCTATCATAACAGCAAAAAGAAAAAGGAATCCAAAACAATGAGGAGAGTGTAAGGAGCATCTGGGACAACTTTGAGCATAGCAACATTCACATATGGGGGTGCTGGAAGGAGAAGAGACAGAGCAAGAAATTGAGAACCTTTTTGAAAAAATAATGACGGAAAACTTCCCTATCCTGGTGAAGGAAATAGACATACAAGTCCAGGAAGCACAAAGAATCCCAAACAAGAGGAACCCAAAGAGGCCTGCAGCAAAACACATAGTAATTAAAATGTGAAAGGTTAAAGACAAAGAGAGAATCTTAAAAGCAGCAAGAGAAAAGCAATTACTTACCTACACTGGAGCTCCCATAGACTGTGAGCTGATTTCTCAAAAGAGACTTTGTAGGCCAGAAGGGAGTGGCAAGAAATATTCAAAGTGATGAAAAGCAAGGACCTGCATCCAAGATTACTCTACCTAGCAAAGCTATCATTTAAAATGGAAGGTCATCAGATAAAGAGCTTCCCAGACAAGAAAAAGCTGAAGGAGCTCATCACCACCAAAACACTATTTTCTAAAAAATATATCTTTATTGATTTCAGAGAGAGGAAGGGAGAGGGAGAGAGAGATGGAAACATCAATGATGAGAGAGTTATCATTAATCGGCTGCCTCCTGTATGCCTCCGGACTGGGGATTGAACCTGCAACCCGGGCATGTGCCCTGACCGGGAATCAAACCACAATTTCCTGGATCCTAGGTCGATGCTCAACGGCCGAGCCACACCTGGCTGGGCACCACCAAACCACTATTATATGAAATGTTGAAGGGTCTTCTTGAAGAGGATCGAAACTGTGAACAATAAAATGGCAATAAATACCTATCAACAATTGAATCTGCAAACAAAATGAAAAAGGGGAAGAGAAACAGTCTCATAGATACAAAGAACTTTTTGTAATTTGCCAGATGGGAGGGGGTTGAGGGGAGGGGCAAAAAAGGTGAAGGGATTAAGAGATTCAAATTGGTTGCTACAGAATAGCCATAGGGATGTAAAATTCGGCACAGGGAATAGAGTCAATAATATTCTGATAACTAGGTATGGTGCTGGATAGCTGTGAGATTTATTGGGGTGATCACTTATCAAGTTATATAATGCCTGGTCCCTGGGGTGTACACCTGAAACTAATATAATGATGTGTGTCAACTATAATTGAAAAGAAAACAACTTCTTGAGAATTTGAAGTTTGGCTTACGTAGGTCTTTCAGTGCAGACTTGATTAGAATTGGGTAAGGATCAGATGCGACACTTGAGGACTGGTGAGATGAAGCACATTATATATAGAGAGGAACTGAGGTCAGAAACCATGTGTCCCCAGAGAGTTCTGATGGCCTGTTTCAGGTTCTCATCCTGACTTTGGATTTATTGGACACCTCTGTTTCCTTTCAGTAATTCTGTCTTTGTTTTCTAACCTGGTCTGACAGGCTTGCAAATCAAGTTAGTTCTATTTGAAACTAAAAGAGCTATTTCTAAGAAAGGTAGCAATGCCATCATTGCTCATTAAGAGAGATTTGGGCATTTGTGACAATAGACATGGCAAATGGATGCTAAATATTGTTTCCTTTTTCTCCTGAGTTGATGAAAGTCCAATGGGCAAGGTCCTTGGAAAATTTTTTGGGGAAGGTTCTTTTGTATGAAAAATGTACCTGGTCTGTGCAAGTAGTTTCCTGTTATCAGGGCTTAAAAATCCCATTGAAATAACATGGTAAACCATTTTCCCCTAGGTTTCTGTCTTTGTGAGAGGATTTTTTTGAATTTATGTTTAAGTCTCTTGCCAAACAGAGCACTGAGAAAATTATTTTGGAGAATTTTTATGGTAAAATACCTTCCTGTTAATCTCAAAACAAATGATCAGACATTTTCACCTATATGTATTTTGAAAGTTGTTTTATCTGCACTTTTAGCGGTAGAGACCAATTTTTGCAAAGGATGTATGTTATGCTCAGTCTCCTACGCTAACTAGGATAAACGATTTTGTAGCAACTGAGCAGCTGCAAATGCTCTTATTGATACTGGATTTCCAAAGTGAAAAAAATTTTGCTTTGTTTTTCAGATTTGATCTTGAAACTTTAAAGTACATTTCAAAAGGAGGGTTTGAGGTATATAGCTTTCTCAGGAGAGGCCTACATTCGAACCATAGGAAAAACTATTGCAATAATACAGTAAGTGTTCTGAGATGGGTTCTAATACTCTTCAGCATTAGTATACATACACTACGGGCTGTTGACCACGTCTGGGGCAGAACAAAGACACCAGGATTATGATGACCCACACACTTCAGACAGCTTTCTAGTTGCATTACAATGTGGCCAAACAAGTAGATCTGGCATGACCTCAGCTTTGCTCCTGGAATCACCCGCTGCCCACTTCACAGGTTCCTGGCATATCTTTTATTCTCTGGTGGCAGAGAGCAAGTGCAGTTGCCAGTTTGCTGTTGATGAGTAATTTTTAGAAACACAAAGTCAGTGTCTTGGTTTTGAATGATTCATCTTGCACTCTGGGGCATGCTGTGAATGTTAAACAGTTAACTATCAGTTGGTGCTTAATCTGTTAGATCTTGCTCAACCCATAATTTGAGGGCTCACTTTTTTTTACTTTAAGTATAAAATAGATGGATTACATTTTCCTTCCAGCTCATTCAGAAGTAAATGGTGCAATCATTTGGTATTAAATGGTAAAAACAACATGTTTACTAAATCATGTGAAATGAGAGGTGAACTTTCAGCTCTCCACACCAACTATTAAAGTATCAAATTAGACTTAAGCCCTAAAACCTGAAAGTTTTGGAATATAAGAAATGTGGGGCCCCCAGTTTTAGCCTCTTTCTTCTTTTTGTTCAGCAGATGTGAGGTATTATCCATTGGCAGTTTTCAGAGGCATCCTTCCAAAGGATTTATTTATCAAGTTATGTGACTTTGGACAAGCTCAAATTTTCTCATCTGTAAAATGGAAATAATATCTGTCTCACAGAATTGTTGATATTAGAATGTAAATGAAGCATCCATCCATTTCATTGTATATGTATATTCACAGATATTATTTTAATCCTCACCCAAGGATATTTTTTCCATTGCTTTTCAGAGTAGAAAGGGAGCAAGTGGGGGGTGGAGGGGGAAGCATTGATGTGAGAGAGACTCATAGATTGGTTGCCTCCTGCAGGTGCCCAGACCTGCAGGGATCAGGCTTGCAACCAAGGAACTTTGCCCTTGGCTGGAATCTAACCAGGACCCTTCAGTCTGCTGGCTGGGGCTCTAACCACTGAGCCAAACCAGCTAGGGCGATATTATTATTATTGCAGGCCTCCAGGAAATGTTAGCTATATACTATTTTATTTATTGAAAAGATACTTTCACTTGGTTCAAAGTTCAAAAGATACAAAGAGTTATATGCTGTATCTTTTGAAATCTTCTCACTTCCATTCCCCAGCCACATAATTCTCCTCCTTGGCAGATGTATCACTTTCTTGTGTATCTTGCTAGAGATATTCTGCATATCTAAAAGCAAAAATGTATACTTTCACTACTTTCTTAAAAAACATGAATGAAATCTAAATCAAGTTTTCCTTTTTATCACTTAAAATGTATCTTAGGAGTTGTTCATATTAGTTACATGTTTTTTACTAATTGTAACTAAATTAGACATAGTTGTATATTAGCGTGTGAGAGAGAGAGGTGGAGGAGAGGGAGAGGGAGGGAGAGGGAAGGAGAGGGAGGGAGAGGGAGAGCGAGCCAGCTGTCGTGTTCTAATGACCAATTCTAACCCTCCACTACTGGATATTCATTCATACATTCCTTTTATTCAGTCATTCAACAAACATTTTTTGAAGGCCTACCACGAGTCAGGCTAGGTTCCGGCAATACAGCCACCACCGAAACGGACGGCGGCACCTCTTTCCCGTCGCAGCGAGCATGAGGCTCGCCCCATCTGCTGTGCGGAGCTTCAGAGCCCGCGCGGGCCCCGGGGCTGACCCGCCCGGCTCCGACTCGCGAGATTGTCCCGCGTCTGTGGCTCGCGGTGGGGTCCTGAGGCCGGCGCGGGCAGACAGAGCCTGGAATACAGGGACCCCGCGGGGAGTCCGGAGCTCCACGCGGGTCCAGACGCACGGCTGCAGAGGCCGCGGGACTGCGGGAAACCGCCGGCGGGGGCGGGGGTCCCCGGGCCGACTTTGGGCACCGCCCCGCGTGTAAGAGCAGACGGAGCTCGTGCCCCCTCGCGCCGCGCGCTGCACACGGGGACCTCGGGAAACACTTAACTAGTGCATTTCACAAAGATGGACAACCAAGGGCCTGGGTGACGAAGGTCCGGACTGATGCCCACCTAAGCCGGGGGAGTCGGGGGCGAGGGCGGGTCAATTCGCAGTGAGGTCAACAGCCGAGCAGACGGAAGCCGGTTAAGAAACTGAGCCCCTCTGGGCGCATTCTGAAAACTCGCGTGGGAAGGCTGCGGCCCCGCAGAGCCGGTGCTGGGAGTGGGGCACCCGGAGGGCGGCCCTGCGCCGGGGCCACAGACCTTTAAACTCCAGACGCGCGGGAACCGCAGCCCAACAGCCGCAGGCGGGCGGGGCGCCCCCTCGCCCGCCAACGAC